CCATTCCCATATGTCTGTACCCAGTTCTCTTCCCCATGGCATTTACCTCACACTTAATGAATGATTCATGTAATTATTTTAAATATCTACTCCATGACAGAGATATTGTGCTATTTTTATTCCTATATTTTTCTACCATTTGTTACAGTGAATGAAGAAAAACTCCCTGCTACCAATCTAGGGTCCTTCCTCCTTCTCCATCCAGTCCTTTGTCTTTCTTTTCCATGAAGAAAACATCCCACCTTCCTGCTTAAAGTCATCTACCACACCTGTCCTAAAAGCCCCATCCTCCTCCACTTTCGCAGAATCCTAAGCTGCCAATCTTACTTGTCTCTTGTACCTTTCATCACATTCTCACTGCTACATCCTTCCCAATTGAACTGTTCAATTCTTCACATTTATGAAGGCTATAAAATGTACCTATCAGAATTTAATAATTAATAACTTTGTCAAATAGACTTTATCCTTTCTCTGCTTAGATGCCTTTTTTAAAATTTTTTTATTTTATGTGTATGAGTGTATTGCCTGTATGTGTGCTAGTGCATCCATGTCATGCAATGCCTGGGGAGGTCAGAAGAGGGTGTTGGGTCCCCTGGAACTGAAGTTACAGATGGTTGTTAGCTGCCATGTGGGTGCTGGGAATTGAACCTGGGTCCTCTACAAGAGCAGCCAGTGCTCTTAACCACTGAGCCATCTCCAGTCCCCGCCCTCTTTTGACATGGTCTCCCTGTAGCCCCAGCTAGCCTTGATCTCACAGAGATCCATCTGCCTATGCCTCCTGTGTGCTAGGATAAAAGGCATGTGCCACCACACCCAGCCCCTGCTTAGGCACTTTAATGATGTATTTCACTCTTAAACATTTCAGTATGCATTCTGAATATTTCCCTATATAACTATAATGCCATTATCACACCAGAAGAAAGTACAGTGATCCCTCAATGTCCTCTAGTACTTAGTAGGTCATATTCAAATCTCATCAAATGTCCCTGAAATGCCATTTACATCTCATTTGTTTAATCTTTGTGTGTGTGTGTGTGTGTGTGTGTGTGTGTGAGATGCATATATGTGTAGGTAGGGTTTCATGTGTGAATGTGGGAGTGTATAAGGTCAGAGGACAATAACTGGTGTTGGTTCATGACTTCTATCTTGTTTAATACAGGGTCTCCTGTTTGTCTGGCCAGTGAGTTCCATGAATTCTTCTGTCTCCACTGCCCTAGGTGCTGTCTACTGGGATTATGGACACGGGCTATTACATCCATCCAGCGTGAAAGGGTTTGAGATCAGAACTTGGGTTCTCTTGCATGTGTGGCAAACACTTTATCCACAGAGACATCTCCCAGCCCACAGTCGATATTTCTGAACTAATCAAGGGCCACACACGGCTGCCTTACAGTGCTCCTCAACCACCACTCCGACTTCTTGTACATACACATCTACCTCACTGGTAGCCCTTTTCCCTCCACTTTCTCAGCACTGATTGTTAAAGAGAACTGGCTAGTTTTTGTTGTTGTTGCTGAAACACTTCTGTCTTTTGTGATCAAAAGACAAACAAAGGAACCAAGACAAAAATATACCCCCATCAAGCTACCTTTTCTAATTTAGTAACAATGCATAATTCTGCCATTTATGCTTTATCACTTTTCACTTAGTTCTCAGCCCATCCCACTCTGGATTTTACCTGCTGCTATAACTGCTCTTTTAAAATCACCAGTGATCCGAATTACACTGAACCTTTAGGACTCTTCAGTTCTTTTATTTTTTTATTTTTATAATTATGTTTTATTTAGTATTTTTGTGTATGAGTGTATGGCCTACATGTATGTAAGTGCACCTCTGTCATGCAATGCCTGTGGAGGTCAGAAGAGAGCAACAGATTCCTCTGCAACTGGAGTTAAGGACGGTTGTTTGCCGCCATGTGGGTGCTGGGAATTGAACATGGGTCCCTTGCAAGAGCAGCCAGTGCTCTTAACCGCTGAGCCATCTCTCCAGTGCCCTCTTTTCAGTTACCTTTTCTCCCCAATTCTTAAAATCTTATTACAAAAATAATACATAAAAATTCAATACAGAAATAACACAGTACCCACCCACTATACATAAACCACATGAACCACTTCTCTCCACCCTCATTCCTCAGAGGTTATCACTGTGAACAATTTAGCATATATCCTTTCACACTTTTTCCTTTGTACATACAAATATATACAATCACATGTGATTATATACACATAATTTTGTCTTTTACAAAAGTGGGATCATAGATATCTATTAAATGATTCTTCAGTTTCTGTCTTCATTTGATAATGCAGAAAATTCCTAAAACAAATCTAGTATCACTCCTCTAGATTTTATTTTCTAAAATATAGAACTCATCCATTAGTATGAAATGCAAAATCCTTGATATGCTTCCTGTCCATTGTTCAGTGTCATGTTTAGCCATTCCAGCATTAAAACTCCAGAACCTAAGCCACCTAAGTCCTTTCTGAATCAAAGCAGGTACAAAGTAGGAACACACTTTGTCATATCTAGATTTTTTTTTTTTTGTCTTTTTGAGACAGGGTCTCCCTGTAGCCCCAGCTGTCCTGGATTCACTATGGAGACCAGGCTGGCCTTGAACTCACAGAGATCCACCTGCCTCTGCCTCCTGAGTGCTGGTATTAAAGGTGTGCGCCACCACGCCCAGCCATATCTAGATTTTGATCATTTCCCTTCATGTTAACACCTTGCCTGGACTTTTCAGGCTAGCAAACTCCTACCAATTAATTCTTCAATAATCAGTTCTTATCTTACTTAGTTTCACAGCCACATTCTACTGTGGTACTATCCCTCCTTTTCCAAAAACCCAGTGACTTCAGTGCAACTCCACTGTTTAGGTTTCCCAGCTCTCTGTTTTGCTCCCTCATAAAGTTTTCCTGTCAGCTGTTCTATCTCCATCTAAACATTAAGTACTGGAGGAGACTATAGGACTGTCCTGAATCTGTACTCTATGCTTTTTCTAATAAGTTTATCTCCTCACACAGCTTCACTTGTCACCATACTTGACACATCAAGTTCCACCCTGCCTCATGTTCTGTTCTATGGATGTAAACCCACTGACTATTCTATACCTCTATGTGCACATCTCACTGAAATCTCAAACTGAGCAAGTCCAAAGCTTACTGCATTGTCTCTTCGGCTCCTGATCCATCACCACTGTCCCCAATTGTCCTACAAAAATTTCTAACATTCTAAAGAAACTTCACCTAGTGGCTTAAGCCAGAAGAGATTTCTGGCTTTAACTTCTCTCCCTCAATCACTAATGTCCAACAGCATGTTGGGGGCGGGGGCAGGTGGGTAGTGGGGATTGAATCTAGGGCTTGTACTTGAGGCAGGCATTCTACCAATGAGCTGTATAGCCAGGCCTCTTTTTCACTTTTGAGACAGGGTCTCACTAAGTTGACCAGGCTGGCCTTGAACTCATTCTGTAGCCAAGGTTGGCCTTTCAAGTTCCCCCAACAGCACATTCTGTCTCCAAAATGTTTTCTGATCTGTATTAGTTTCCTAGGGCTGCCATAACAAAGTTATAAACTAATGCTAAATACAACAGAAATTAATTTTCCAACAGTTTTGGAAGTCAAAAGTCCAAAATCAACAGGACTGGTTCCTTCTGGAGCTTTGATGGGTAATCTCATCCATGCCTCTCTCTTAGCATCTCTCTGAATTCCTGGGTTTCTTGGCTTGTAGCCACTTCAATCTCTGCCTCTGCTAACACATGGTCTTCCTTAAGTGTGTGTCTGTGGACTGCTGTAGCTCACTTTCCTTATAAGGACATCAATTATTAGACCTAAGGCCCAACACCTAATCCAGTTATGAACTCAATTGTTTGCTAAGTCTTGTGAAGTTCATGTTTCCAAATTTGGTCACTTACAGGGTCAGGACACAGTTCAAGCCATAACATGATAACTTCTACTGTTCTCTATGGTACAGATGGACTCTGGAGTCAGTATGATGGCTCTTTCCAGGTCCACTCCTCTCCTCTCCTTTCCAATCCTTTCTCCATACTGTATCTAAAATGAACTTAGTAATGTAGATCTGGTCCTGTCACATGTTTAAGACTGTTTTCACCTACCTCTGAACCATCACCTAGTTAATACTTACTTGTCAGAGTTCACATCAGACATACTTCTGCCAAGAAGCGTTTTCAGATTCACATGCTAGTATCACCCTTCACTTCTCTAATATTTGGCACACCTGCTACTTATTTTAAACTTCGATTAAATTCCACTTTAAGGGCAGGGTGACTGGTGTAACCAGTTCCTGTTGCATGGGACTGACACATACTTGTGCTCAAATCTCTTCTTAAGTTATAAATGAAACGTATCAGTCTTGTCTGTGGGTTTGAGTTTCAACGATTTACAGGGGACACGGCTGATATATTGTAATAAATGACTAACATCATGCGGTCCTGTCTCGATTTTGCCCTATACCGAAAGCAGCAGCCTGACCAGACTGGCAAGAGATCTCCTCATATGAGGTCCCAGAGCCATAACATGTGCTTTCATTTTTGCATTCCTTAATTCTAGCACAGTCCTTGTTTGGAGGAACCCAGTGGGCGGGACTTATTGGGTGCGTTCTTAAAAGAATGATGTGCTCTTGGCTTGATATCCTGCCGACTCCCTTTCCTATTAACCCCAACTCCCAAGAACCTCTATTGCTGTCCATCAGTCGTTCCTCAAACTACTAACCCTCCAAAAGAAGCCACGATCCCTCCTCCACGCACGCTCCCACCTCCACCCTAGCTCTTGAACTCAAAACTCATATCCCAGCTTTTTGACCAATAAAATCGGTAACAAGAAAAGCAAAGAAATGACCTAGGGAAATTCATCCGGGTACCTGGGTCCCCGGCCCCTCTCCAAGCCCCGCATACTTTCACCCGGCTTGTCCGGCAGGGAAGACCCTCGGTCCCCGGCTCCAGGTCCCCCCATTCCTCCGCTTCTCCCGCCTCCCCGGGCCCCGTTACTCACTGTTCTTGAGGAAGCGCTCCTCGTGCAGCACGGCGATGGCGTTCACGCAGAGGAGGGCCGCCTGCAACAGAGAGTACAGGGTAAAGGCCATGGTCGCCCCCAGTTCTTCCCACGCCCAATGAACTCCTATCCCTGGTCCGTCGACGCGGACGTGGCGCAGCCACAACCCTGGCTCTCCTACGGGAGCCTGCGCCGCCCAAAACGCGCTCAGGGAAACCCCGCCCCCTTCGAACTAAGCCCTGCCCCCACGCTTAGGACTGCAAGGCGAGTTCTAGCTCTTGACAACTCGCAACGCAGTAAACTCAAGTAATTATTGGACATTTGAAACAGAGCTACCCTTGGGATGGAGAGATGGCTCCGTGGTTAAGAGCACCGACTGCTCTTGCAGAGGGCCTGGGATCGACTCCCAGTATTCATTCACATGGTGGTTAACAACTATCCTTAACTCCAGTTCTAGGGGGATCCGATGCCGTATTGGAACCTCTGTACTACACATTGCACGACATGGGTGCACTTACATACATGCAGGCAATACAGTCATACTCACAAAATAAAAATAATAAAATATTTTTAAAAAGAAACGGATCTAGTCTTCACAGACAGGGACAGAAAAAACAAATATATAGAATCTCCCATAATTTAAAAATATTGATTACGTATTTAAGTAATGCAAATATATTTGAGGTAAATACTTTTCTAACAATTTTTACTGCCGAATTTTACCTTAATGTTTAGGGTGTTTATGAGAATCTGAATGACATTGGAAGCTTGGTTGTTTTTGTTGAACACTGCTGCCCCAAATGTTCCCAAGAACTGAGTGGGAGATCAGTATTCAGATTTCACTGCCAAAGAAATGAAGACTTTGTCAAATAAAATGTTTAAAATTGTAAAACGACCTCTTAACATTATTTAGTGAAAAACATGCTCTTCTTAACCAAACTCTAGCCAGGATGTGAAAACTGCAGAATCATAAAGCAAGTTATTCCACCCACTAACTGTCCCACAGAAGAAGTAAGCACTAACACCAGTTCATGGCTGCACCCCAAAGATGGCCCAGCCCCTGAGAAAGTTCCAGGCTGCCAAGAGCTTAATGCTTGTCCTAGACCCCTGACTACCCTCTTGCAGCATTTACTGACAAGGATGTTGGGGATCCTTCCTGTCTCTTTGAGAGGTAGATGTAGCTCCTCTGATGCAGGAGCTCCTTCTAAGATCTGAAAGCCATCCCTTTAAAATGTCATTATCACAAGGCCAGGTCCTCTGTCTCAGATCTCTGTAGGAGAGTGGGATCTAAAAACTTTTATAATTGCCAGTTAGCAGAGAAAGCAGGCCTAACTGAATTCATACGGATCAACTCACAAATTTTCACTTTCCTGACTCTGAGTCCTTGTTTATTCCTCTCCTCATTATCTCCTCAGCCTTCCTCCCAGCCCCCTCCCCCTTCCAGTTACCTCTGTATGAATCCTAATTGAGCTCAATTCACACTGGGACCCATTCCCGGTTGCACTCATATTTTACTGATTAAAATCAGTCCTTATCACTTTAACATCTGGCTTTGTCTTTTACAGAGTCAGTAAGAAATACTATTAGACCATGTTAAATTTTTAAATACTTTCTGAGAGAAAACAAAACACTTGCTTCTTGGATGTCTGAGAGTCCCCTAAGATGGAAGAAGGGGAAAATACCATACTTAATTCCAGAAAGGACTTTGGAAATTTGTGTTGTTACTGCTGGAAGAAAGATTAACAAAAAAACTTCCAAGAAGAAATGACGCTTAAGCAGGTCAGTTAGTCACAGTGCCAACAGGGAAGAAACGAATATATTTTCCACCCAACAGATGTATAAACACTATCTCCAAAAAACCCCACTGCATCTGGTTCTAAGGGCAAGTTAGGTAGAGAGAGACCTGAAGATAAAATAAAAGCAACAAAAGAAACAACAGGATATTGTCAAGTCCTCCAGTTTTTCTAGCCCTAAAAAATTTAGACACTGGTAATGGTCAGTGTTTTGTTCAGGATGCTATGACAAAATAACCTGTAGGTTGGGTGACTTATAAACAACTGAAATTTTTCTTACAGTTCTGGAGTCTAAATGTCAGATCAGACTGCCAACTTTTGGTAAGGGCCCATTTCCAGACTTGTATCCTCACATGGTATGAGAATTTTACATGCATGTTAAAGTGCACCCATGTCATGCAATGCCTGGGAAATCCAGAAGAGGGCATCAGATCCCTTGGAACTGGAGTTACAAATGGTTGTTAGCAGCCATGCAGGTGCTGGGGACTAAATCTATTCTCTGCAAGAGTAGCCAGTGCTCTTAACTGCTGAGCCATCTATCCAGCCCCATCAACATCGGAACTTCTTTTTGTTTGTTGAAACAGGGTGTCCTGTAGCCCAGGCTGGCTTTGAACTTGCGTATGTATCAAGAAACAACATACAAACTTCTAAGTGCACACAAGCATGGAGAATGGCCACTGGAGGACTTCTACATTGGGCAGGAGGAGGGGAAAGGCACCTAGAGGGAACTTGTTTTGAAGCTTTGCTGCACAGTAAATCACAGTTTTTACTAGGTTGTTTACTGGGGAAGAAAGTTAAAGGTGGATGCTAAGATTTAAGTGTGGTTTGTTTCCATCAAAACTTGTGTTGAGGCTTGAAAAGGTGGTGGGATCTTCACTGGTTAGTCATATCATGTAAGCTTCGTCGTCATGAAGGAATTGATGTAGCTTAGTTACCATGAGATCAGATCACTATAAAATGGGTTAATGGGTTCTGTTTTCCTTGGTTCTCCTTGCTTCTTTTCCCTGTGGGCCTGCTTGCTTTTTCACTTTGTACCAAGAGGCTGTCAACAGAAGTCAAGCAGATACCACCACCATATTCTTAGATTTCCATAACCATGAGTTTAAAAACATCTTTTCTTTACAAATTACCCATCTTAAGGTATTTAAAATTTTTTGTTACATTTGTGTGTGTGTGTGTGTGTGTGTATGTGTGTGTGTGTGTGTGTATGTGTGTGTGTGTGTATGGTTGTTTGTGTGCCACGGTCACATGTAGAGGTCAGAGGACAACTTTGGGGAGTTGGTTGTTTCGTTCCACCATATGGTTTCTGGGAATTGAACTCATGGTTGTCATGCTTGGCAGCAACCTACTTTACCTGCTGAGCCATTTCACTGGCCCCGTGTTTTGTTGTAGGAACAAAACATGGACTAAGACAGGAGCTGATTGGAAACCATGGTGCAGATGGAATGAAAGTTGGAATAGAGCTTCCAGTGGCCATGCCTTCCTGCTTCCACTGGCTTACAAGACATATGGATTCTTTTGTTCTTTAATATTTTATTTATTATTTTTATTTTATGTGTATGAGTATATTGCCTGCATGTATGTGAGTGCACCCATGTCATGCAATGCCGCAGAGGTCAGAAGAGGGATTCCCCTGGAACTGGAGTTAAGGATGGTTCATAGCCGCCATGTGAGTGCTGGGAATCGAACCCGGGTCCTCTGTAAGTGCAGTCAGTGCTCTTAACCACTGAGCCATCTCTCCACCCCATATGAACGGATTTTTTTACTGTCATAAAAATCAGGTTAATCTCTTTGGGCTTTTGCTACTTTCATTTATAAAATTAGGTGATAATCATCTCTGAGGCCCTTTCAAGCTCAAAAAAAATCTAACAAAAGCAGCTTAAAATATAAGATGGTATGTAAGTTCTAACTATTTCTCAAAAAAATCCAGGCTTGTAGCCTAAGCAGTTAACAGTAGATTATAGCCTTTAAAACAATTTTTGCTTTATTTCCAAAGAAAATCAAAAGCCTGAAAATTTTATTATATATTTATAAAATAATTGCTACAGTTTAAAATCTTTCAAATAACCCTAAAAAAAGAAGCTAGGTAAAATACATAGCCTGCATCTTTGAAGACTGCATTTTCTTTCCACTGGTTGTGCTCTAATTAGAACTTGGTGTTTGGTGCTGATGAATTTCTGATGAATGTCCGGTAACGTTTTATGTATTTATGTTACTGTGCTGTAGGACATTTCTATTGGGGGAGACATTTTGTTTTTCCACTTCAAGGTGCTTTGTTTGAGTTTGATTTTTCTCTCTGGCCCAACAGACAGCACATTCTGTTATCTTAGACTACCATACTATATAGTTACTTTCCTCGTAACTACTAATATGGAGTCAGTGTTTTTATTTATTTGACAGAACTCAAGGAATTGGTGTCTTCAATAACTAATTGGTTTCTTCATGCAAGGAAAAACAATAGTTAAGAGGGTGGCTAGGATAATCTTCATGTTTGGTCCCGGGTTAGATATGAGAACAGGATAGACGTAGAATCTGTGGCAAGAAGGGAAGTTACAAGGTTCAAACTTGACTTTTAGAGTAATGTTTCAGAACTCAGTCCTACAGCTGAGAGAGTAAACTTATTGAACCTAATTTTTTCCAACTTTTCTTGTACCAGTGTCTTTGACTTATAATTGTGCTGATCTTTGACTTTGGGGGTTCAGCTATATGACATGCTTTGGCCAAGAGTTAGGAGGGAGCGATAATGTGCCAGCTCTGAGCTGAGACCTCACATGGTCTCACATGTTCTGCTTTCTTTCCCATGTCTCAATATTGTCGCGAAAATGGTAAAAGCAAACAACAACAAAAGCCCACTTGGACTAGTCATCTGGCACCAACCTGTGAGGCAGAACCTGATTGCCATGACAAGCCCTGTCTGCATCACCAACCCCCATCCCACTGCAGATCCATCAGAGTGAGTGCTGGTTGTTTTAAGCCACTAAATTATAGGGCTGTTTGTTCCCTAGTACTTGCAAAGAAATAGATTCCTTTTGTATCTACACATGCATACTTATTCTAATTTATTCTAATGTCCTAAGTACATTAGTATTGACTAGATTCCCATTTTAATTTATTTTATTATTTTATTTTATGTGTATGAGTCTTCTGCATGTATGTATGTAAGTGCATCACGTGCTTGCAAACCCAGAGGCCAGAACAGGGCATCAGGTCCCCTGGAACTGGAGTTATTATGGATGGCTGTTAGCTGCCATGTGGGTGCTGGGAACCAAACCAAGGTTCTCTGCAAGAGCAACCAGTGCCCTTAACCCCTGAACCATCTTTCCAGCACCCCTTCCTTTTTCTTGTTTTTGAAACAGGGTCTCCCTGTAGCCCTAGCTGGCCTGGAACTCACTAT